CTCATCACAAGTCAAGATGGGCTTGCTCCAGCCCCTGCCGATTCCCCAACGTCCTTGGTCACACATTTCAATGGATTTTGTGACAGGATTTCCTTCATCCAGAGGCAAGACTACGGTCCTAACAGTGGTGGATCGATTTTCAAAGATGGCTCACTTCATCCCATTGACCAAGCTTCCCTCTGCCAAAGTCACCGCAGAGGTCATGATGAATCACATATTCAGGATCCATGGATTCCCTGATGACATTGTTTCCGACAGGGGTCCACAATTCATTTCCGTTTTCTGGAAGGAGTTTTGTCGACTCATAGGTGCCACCGTCAGCTTGTCATCAGGATATCATCCTCAGTCAAATGGACAGTCGGAGCGTCTGAACCAGGAACTAGAGACTACGCTACGTTGTCTCGTCTCCCGGAACCAGACTACCTGGAGTGACCACCTCACATGGGTCGAGTTTGCCCACAATACTCTTCCTACGGCAGCCACAGGTCTCTCTCCATTCCATTGTGTCAATGGTTTCCAGCCTCCATTTTTCCCTAACAACGAGGAAGAGGTGAGGGTTCCATCGGCTCATGCCATGATCAGACGTTGTCGACGAGTTTGGGCTGGTGCTCGCCAGGCTCTTCTCCGAAGTTCAGCTCGGATGAAGGCTGTTGCAGACGTCCATCGCAGGGTCGCTCCCTCCTACAGACCAGGCCAAAATGTTTGGCTTTCCACTAAGGACTTACCACTCCATGTCGCCTCAAAGAAACTGGCTCCGAGATTTGTGGGTCCTTTCCCGGTGTCCAGAGTCATCAACCCGGTGTCTGTACGCTTGCAACTCCCCAGAACTATGAGAGTACATCCGACGTTTCACGTCAGTAAAATCAAGCCGGTGTGCGAGAGCACACTTGTTCCCGCCTCCAAGCCCCCTCCACCGCCCGAGTTCTTTGAAGGGGGTGAGGTTTACAAGGTCCGTAAGCTACTGGAGGTCCGTAATAGGGGGAGGGGGAAGCAATTCCTGGTAGACTGGAAGGGTTACGGTCCTGAGGCTAGAAGCTGGGTAGCTGCGTCATTTATCGTAGACAAGACGCTTATCCACGATTTTTACAATCAGCCTGGGCCATCAGGAGTTGGCCCTAGAGGGGGGGGTACTGTTGTGCACCGACAGAAATGCTAGAGAGATGCATGTTATTTACGTTTGCTTTCTCTCATTCCAGGCTTCCTGATTATTTTCACCTGTGTCTCCTGTGCTCATCAATGTCAGCCCCGCCCCTGATTGGTCCCACCTGTGTCTAGTTACCCTGTGCTTATATTCCCCTGTCTCCCAAGTGTTCTTTGTCAGTTCGTATTGTCTCTTGCTATGGTCAGGTCTATGCTCTTTGTACTCTTGTAAAGTTTGATTCCTCACTACGTGAGCGCTTTCATTTTGTTCCTCTATTTTTGTCATCTCGGTTAGAGATTTGATAGTTACCTTTTTTGTTGTTCATTGCTGTATTTTGGAAAATAAAGTATCTTACTAATACTTTACCTCTGTCTCCCGGGTCGTGCAATTGGGTCCTACATCCTAAGTGTCTGAGTTCGTAACAGGTTCTGGACGGATTCAGAGCGGGTCATTCTGCTGTTGGTGCTGGACTGATTCAGAGTGGGTCATTCTGCCTGTTGGTTCTGGACTGGTGTTGCTTGTGTCGGTGGAGAAAGCAGACTGCTCCTTGTTTGGTGTCTCTGAGCCGCTGTCACTTGTGACACTGTGACAAAGTGGCTTGGGCCTAACCCTATGGAACAATCAAACCAAATGTGTGCAGTACACATACTCAACCCTGCAGCAAGTGTGAATATGGTCTGGCAAGAATGTTATGGGACGCCAGAGGCAGGGACGTGCACAGGTACGGGCTAATGTTGCCCGGGCATCGGCCTGTTTTCCCTCTTTGGCTGACCTGCCCCTTTGGAGAGAGCGAAAGTCTTTTTTTTCTGTTGTCACCGAATCAACATAAGCTCACAATTAGTATTATAGAGTCTCGCTGCAATAAAACCAATAAAAAACACACCTTGTCAGCGCTCAGCGCTGTCATCTGCCACCAGTCACGTGACTTTGTTTACAATCTGACAGCTGAAAGCAAAGGAAAGCCCTCCGGCGGCCGGCCTCATATGGCAAGGTGAAATAAAATTGTAACAAAGTTGATGTTTCAATGGTGTGGCGCTTGTTCGCAGCAATACAATTATTGTAGCCTTAGCGTTAGCATTTAGCATTAGCAGCCTCATTCTTCTTCTACTACTTCTTTTACTTATTCTTCTTCTCCTTCTTCTTATATGTAATTGCCCGTGAAATTTTGAATGAATATCTCGTTTCAGTGTGAACTCATTCCACAGTATGACCACACAAGTGTTTTAAACCAGGTACGTTTTTATTATTTATGTTCTATATCGCTATGTGTGCGATTACATGTTTTACATATTGTATTGGTGCCGGTGCGTTAAAGACCCAGGGACGTGCACAGACATTTGGAGGGGCTATATATTTTATTATCAGTATGTCTGCACAGCAGTTACAATGGTCAAACTACATTGAAACAGAATTGTCCCCATTTTTTCTTTAATAGTTATAACATTACATATTTTTAAGAGATATGGGCCGCAAAACAAAAAATGTCCCTTGTTTTCATTTTAAAAATCAAGTCACTGAATGCAAGTAGTCGCCTTAGCTTATTTTGTTATGAGATGATGATGTGAATTACTGTTCAAATTAGTTAATGTAATAATAGTTTGGTTATTTTATGCATAGCCTAATGTTACATTTCTGTGCTTAAGAATGCTTTCAAGACAGAGAGTGAAGCAGAGAGAATCTGAAGGAGGCAGCTAAAAGGACTGCAACTTTGCAGAGCTGGATAAAAGGTGCCAGCAGGGCATCTGCAGGTGAAGCACTGTGATTATGTCAAGCAACTACATAAGTTGGAGTACACTAATAACTCATTAAAACAAATATTTAAATCAGTGATAAATGCAAAGCCTCTATCTGTGCTGAGTGAAGTTAATATTTCTCTGTTGGGGGCTAACCCCAAGCCTCCAGTTCAGAGCGCATTTGAGAGCTTGGTGATCTAGTAAAAGTGCAGGTGTTTACAGGTCTTACGGTGGGGTGGAGCTGAGGAGGCCAATCAGCGCGATCACAGACACCTGGCCGGAGCCGAGGTGCTATTAAGCCCAGCTGCCCGGAGTCACATGGCGGTCCTGACTCTCTCCAAGCCGGCTGCAGAAGGACTCTCGCTCTGGTCCTTTACACTCGTCCGTCTTCTCCTGTTTTTGGTGTTTGCTCTTTGATGATGATCAATAAAGTGCCGTGGTTTTTGGAACCTTTGAACACCTCTCTTTGTTTTCCTGTTGTGGCCAACGGGCCGGTCATAACAACTGGGGGCTCGTCTATCGTGAGTATGAACCGGGAGTTGGTTGGGTTGTTTGGCGTTAGCTGTGCCTGATTTAGCCTGTGTTCGTGGCTAGGTGGTAGCCTGAGTTTTTTTGGGGGGGGATTCCCTCTGAGGACAGTGACGTAGGTGACCTTATATGGTGTTGGGTGTGCACTCTATGGGTGCCTAGGAGTTATTTTGGGAGCGCGTATGGTCCCGGGTTTGTGAGATTTGAGGAGATTTGTTTTTGTCCGGTAGCGGTGATCTGTTCTCCTAGATATTCGCAGAAACATATGAGGTAGTGGTCCCATCTGTGTACACGATACCTGTAGGAGTGTTTCCCCTGGTAGATTCAAGAGGTGTTTCCCCTTTGGGTTTCGTCTGGGGGGGGCTTTGATAGTGTTGAGGTACGTTGGTTTGAGCTTCACTTTCCCTTTTCCCTAAACTTGCTCGGGAGCACGTCCAAAGCTGCGGGTGGAGTTGCCAATTGCTGGTTGCTTTACCGGGCTTATGGGTTTAAGTGCATAAGTACCCACCGCTACGCCTCATGAAGACTAGGGGGGGAGTTGTGTAGTAAGTTTATGGTTAGGAAGTCAGCTAGCAGGGCTGCTCATTCCTACTGTGTGCACAGGTGGGCTAAGAAATTGCATTTCCTCTGTGTAAGCTATTATTGGGTAAAAATGGAGGATATTGTGGGGGCGTTTGTGGCTGCACCTTCTGAAGGATTCCTGGATCAGTGCACCAAGGATCAATTAGTGAGCATAGCTCAGTATTATGGTTTTGAAGTTGGCGATAAGAGAGTGAAAGATTCTGTGAAAGCGAATTTGAAGGCTTGTTTGTTGAAGAGCAAGGTGTTTGATACTCCTGTCCCCGGGCGCACAGTAGAAATGGCGGGTCAAAGTGCTGTTTTGAGTTTCGACCAACAGAAGGAGTTACTCAGATTACGCTTAGAGTTGGAGACGGAAAAGGAGTTGGCCGTGGAGAAGATGCGACAGGGCATTGAGCTTGAAAGAGCGGTGTCCTTGGAGAAATTGAGGCAGGAAACTGAGCAGGCTAAGTTGGAGTTTCAGAGGGAGAAGCTGGAATAACTTAGAGAGGGCAAAGTAGCGGCTGATGTCCTGTTTCCTGATAATTCAGCTAGTCAAAGCGGGACCCCAGGGAGGTCAGTGGATGAGTTGAATGATTTGAGGCTGGTGCCCAAGTTTAATGAAAAGGATCCGGACATTTTCTTTTCGATGTTTGAGCGTCTCGCAGGTGTAAGGGGGTGGTCTGAGGCCACTCGCGTGTTATTGTTACAGTGTGTGTTAACCGGGAGGGCTCAGGAGGCTTATTCATCTTTAAGTGGCAGTGACTATTTGCGTTATGAGTTAGTCAAATCTGCCGTTCTTAAGGCTTATGAGCTGGTGCCTGAAGCTTATCGTCAGAGGTTTAGGAATTGGAAGAGAGGTGATAAATCTCACCTCGAGTTTGCTCGGGATATTTCCACCCATTTCGATCGCTGGTGTGCGGCAACTGACGTTGATTCTCACGGGGCGTTGAGGGATCTCATTATTCTGGAGCAATTCAAAAAATTCTGTACCGGAACACATTGCGGTGTATATTAGTGAGCACGCAGTCAGGACAGCTGCTGAAGCTGCTGCATTAGCAGATGACTATGTTTTGACACACGTTGGTGGAGGTGCTGCCGTACAAGGCAGACAGTGGAAATTCCTCCGGTATGGGAGCGTGGTCTGGTCGTCCATTGAGATCTGCTGGGCAAGAGAGAGGGCATGTACGTGGTGCACGTGAGCCTGACAATGTGTGTCATTACTGTCATGAGCAAGGGCACTGGAGAAAAGACTGCTATGCATTTAGGGCTAAAGCTGAGCAGGAAGGGACTAGTGGTAGTCCCAGGCCAGCAATGTTCGTGGCACCTGTCGCTGAGCAGGTGACTGGGCGTTTAGACAGTGAGTTGAAACCACAGGGGTCTAGCTCAGAACTGCAGTCTTATTTGCCTTTCATGACTGAGGGTTTTGTGTCTCTGGTGGGGAGAGATGAGAAGGTGCGGGTGAAGATATTACGCGACACCGGATCATTTGATTCGTTCATTTTAGCATCTGCCTTACCGTTTTCAGAGGACACATACATGGGGTTGTTCATTCCGATACTTGGAATGGGATTAAATGTTCTTCGGGTACCTCTCCATAAGATGATGCTGTTTTCGGATCTGTTTCAGGGTGAAGTAGCGGTTGGCGTGCGGCCAGCTCTGCCCATAAATGGGGTCACGATGATCCTGGGTAATGACATTGCGGGTAGTCGGGTGTGGGCTGATGGGGCACCTCCTGCTTTCGTGGCGCCAGTGCCCCTGGTTAGTATTAAGCCGGACAAGAGCGAAACGGAGTATCCTGACGGGTTTACAGCATGCGCTGTGACACGGGCAATGAAACATGGGCAGGCGGAGGACATGAGCTCAGCTGACATCGAAGAGGCCTCACCGCAGCATGGGGTGACGTGTCTGATGGAGAGTGTTCTGCCTGGTGGGGAGGTGAGAAATCATGCTCGGGGGTATTCGCTTCAGAAGAATATTCAAATGGGAAACTGGATACCTCAGTGGGAGCATTTTGCTGGTGAACCTCTTTACCAGGTTGGGGGGCATTCCAGGCTCCGTGGCATGGCGAAAAAGAGGAAAAAAAACAAACACATGTAACACGCTAATCAGCTGAACTATTCAGTGTTGGGGAAAACAGTGACTGATTGGTAGTTTTTTTTGTTTTTTTCTTTATCATTGTTGTGGGCACTATGTTCTGGGTTGAGTGGTTGATTTAGGTGCCAGGGTTCCGATGGGGACCCTGACTTTATGGGGGGGGCTGTGACGGCCCCAGAGCCTGTGTGCAGGTGTGTTTACAGGTCTTACGGTGGGGTGGAGCTGAGGAGGCCAATCAGCGCGATCACAGACACCTGGCCGGAGCCGAGGTGCTATTAAGCCCAGCTGCCCGGAGTCACATGGCGGTCCTGACTCTCTCCAAGCCGGCTGCAGAAGGACTCTCGCTCTGGTCCTTTCCACTCGTCCGTCTTCTCCGGATTTTGGTGTTTGCTCTTTGATGATGATCAATAAAGTGCCGTGGTTTTTGGAACCTTTGAACACCTCTCTTTGTTTTCCTGTTGTGGCCAACGGGCCGGTCATATCACTGGGCAAAACACTTCACCCCAAATTGCTCCTGTGGGGATTGCCCACAGTATTGAGTATGTAAGTCGCTTTGGATAAAAGCGTCTAACAAGTGACATGTAATGTAATTTAATGTAACATATTTATTTTCACATGAATGACTATAGATATAACCTTCTCCAATCTAAAATGATACTGACTGCACTAGTGTTCAGTTGTCTTTGTATGTTTTTATAGCAGTAAAGAATGAAGTGTATATGTTACTTAATTCTGATTCTAATAATTCTGTTTAAGAATACAAATATATGTTAAGTGTTTATTTTGGAGACAGCTCCATCTTTGAACTCCTTTATAGTGTGAAAAGGAGATCACAACGGTAATAATGCTTTCATTATTTGAACACTTAGCAACAATAAAGAGCTCTAAAACATTCTCTTAATTGTATTTGATAGATGGTGAGCCTGAGACAAAACACAATGATGCCCAGAACAGTTCAGACTCGGAGAATGAAGAAAGGATAGAGACAGAATCTGAAAATGAGGAGAAAGAGAGAGGAATTGAGAATGAAGAGATAGGAAGTGAGGACAAAGAGATGGAAGGGGAGGATATGGAGATTGAGAGGGAAGAGATGGAGAATGAGGCAGTAACATCAGAGTCAACAAGAGTGAAAGCACCTTCAGAATTTGTTTTTTTGCTACAGCTACCAAACCCCACCGATCCAGCCCATGTTCAGAAGAACAATATCAAGTACAATTAGGTCTTCGTCAAATTTTCAAACTCAATTGGACCCTGTCGTCCTCTGGTCCAGTTCCAGAAAAAAATCAAGATGGGCGGTCTTTTCAGGGCCACTGGTATGATGAAAACCCCTGGTTGGAGTATTCTCCACAGAATGATGCTATGTACTGCTTCAGCTGTCGCATTTTTATGACGATAAGTACAAGAGTAGGTCTACAAGGAAGTCTGGAGCAGGGTTTCCGTTAGCCGGTAATTACCGGTTTTTAGCTGGTAACATTTATTAAAAACCGGTAAATTCAAAACCTGCCGGTCAAAATGTCCGGTAATAATTAGGGATGCTCCGATCGATTGGCCGCCGGTCATTATCGGCCAATATTCACTCTTAATAGTTTGATCGGTGCTCTCTATAAAGGCCGATTAGGAGAGCTGGATCTGATCAATATGGACATAAACGCGAGTGAAGTATAACCGGACGCGCGAGAGAGATCAGATCAGCTGCTGAGTCTGACGGAGACACGCAGCTCTGCATGATCACCTGAAGCCCCGCCCACTGTTTAGCGAGCTGCATGAGAAACTGACGGGCTGTCAGGAGAGAGGGAGGGAGAGAGGAAAAGAGAGGATCCGTTTCTCCCGTGTTATTATCCAAAGTTAATGTACACTTTTGAATAATGTACTTTATCTACTACAAGTAGTTTGTTTGAATGTAATAATTATGTTGTTTGTTGTTTGTGGAAGCGCATCATTTATTGAAAAATAAATCTGAACTTTTCGATCTGTTACGATTATAAACTGAAGCAATATAAAAATGACTCCCATGAACTGAGTTTTAAACATCAGCATATCCGGTCATAGTCCGGTAATTACCTGCTAACGGAAACTATGCTACACAATTCTGAATTATTGAAACATGACCGGTAAGTTTCAAATTTGTCCGGTAAAATTAATTCTTTCCGGACATTTGACCGGCAAGAAAAAATCCTAGCGGAAACCCTGGTCTGGAGGTGTAAACAAGTGGAGGCAGGCAAAAGTAAGAAGGAAGGAGCACTGCTGCAGTGAATCGCACATGATTGGCATGACCAAGTGGAATGAATATAAGATACATCCATTGAACATGGCTTTTGCAGTAGCAGATTCGCAGATGCAAGCAGCAAAAGAAAGAGAGAGGCAAAAAAACAGAGAGATCATCTTCCGGTTAATAGAGATCATATTATATCTTGCAAGACAAGGCTTGGCCTTCAGGGTTAGAGATGAAAGGGGGGGTGCCTTTTTCCAGTTTAGAGCAATAGCCCCTCCAAATGTCTGTGCACATCCCTGGCCAGAGGTAATTGAAATTGCACTGCTCAAGAATACTTTCCAAAGCTCACCAACAAAGATAAAGGTAAACTGAGTGAGCGAATTAACATTCTCCTCAAACTGGAGTGTGCCAAGGAAGACGGTGCTCTGCCAGGGCTCTCGTATTTGGATACAGCTCATGGGGTAAGAGAAATAATTGAAAAGCTTCCCTATAACCTACAAGAAAAGTGGCCTAACCTTGGAAGGAAGTACAAGGAGGATTACAGAGTAGACTTCCCTCCTTTCTCTGTCTTCTCCAAGTTTATACAGCAACAGGCAAAGATTAAAAACGATCCAAGCTTTATTATATCCACACCAAGCAGCAATGCCTCCTTTAAGACCAAAAAACCTACGAGGTACAACAACAAAGCCTCTGTGACTGTGAAAAAACAGACATTCCAGAAGGCATCCAAAGCAGTCCTAAGTAAATGTCTGGTATCTTCTGTCATCCACAGTCATTAAAATGATTTACTAAGGGACCATTACAAAAACAAATGTCGTTTTCACCATGATAGTACACTCAGCTGGAGGGTCAATGTTGAAGGACTGTGCTCTAGACCAGGGGTTCCCAACCCCCAGGTGTTACTGCCGGGCCCCGAAATAGCTGTGAGTTTATCATAATATTTGCAGAATTATAAATATATAAAAATATATTTATCATAATGTTTTTTTCAAAAAGTGTTTAATTTTCGCACTTATACCAGTCATATTATTTCATCCAGTAGCTAGTTAAACTTCCACCAGAAAACAGTTGAAAATGGCTTTTATGGTGTTCCGAGGGATTCGGCGGCTCAGCCTAAGGTCTCAGCCTCTCGTTCGCACGAGAAGGTTACCGGTGCGCCAAGTAGGAAGAGGAGCGCACAGGAGACGACCGTTTCATTGCAGACTGTTATGTTTATGTGGGGAATAACGTCGTATTTTTTGCTTTTCCATTTTTCTGAAAAACAAAAAAACACCGGTTCTTTTTTTTCTTTTTTTAAAACGTTGTTAATATGTTTTGGATGCATATTATTCTAGTATTTGTTCAGGCTGTTACATACAATTAGCCTATGTTGCTACCTGCTGGTGAGTAAATATTAAAATCAGTTAAAATTGACAACCGGTCCACGACCGGTTGAAATATCAGCCTGAAATTACAATGGTCTTTAATGGAGACATGTTGAATGTTTTTGTCACTTCATGCTCTCAAGAGGCATTTTGTTTAATTATTTTTGCTTAATTATTTGTCATTTTTCAAGCTACGAGATGTTTTCCTAAGTTTGTCATGAAAAAAAATATGAAGGCAAATTTCAAGATTTCCTACACTCTAGCTGTGACATCACGCACTCTAGGTAATGTTAAAATCTGAAGAAGGCCTCTGTACCAAGGTCTGAACAATGTTTAATATCTCTAAAAGTAAGAATCAGATTTAAAAGTTGTGTTGCACAAATAATGGCAGAAAGATGTGTAACATTTTAAAGTTGGAATGAGGTTTCTGAGTGAAAGTATGAATGAACAGTTAGCAGTTGAAGTCGCATGAAGATTGTTCAAGTCTGAAGATTTTCTCCATTGATTTCAATGGTTAAAAATGTGATGAATTATGGGATGTATCTCTGGAATTATGAAAGTTATGAATGAGAAAAGTAATAGCCATCGATTCCCGACCGAGCTGAACGTTTTGATGTTTGAACGGAGTTTCTGCGATGTTCAATGCGGGAGAAGAAGACCGGCAAAATAACGGGCGGAATAATAAAGAATTTCGTGCATAGAAGAACAGATAGTTGGAATGCTGTAAACAAGTTCAGTGTCACTCATTTGTATTCCTATTTCTGTATTGTCACAGTTTTACAAAAATCAAGAGTCATCTTCACCGCAAACAAAAACATTAAATTAAAAGCATTGTCTTGTTTTGCTTCACCCAAAAGGTTTTATGTCAACCTGTATTGGTCCTTAATAAAATAAACACGCCTGGCTTACTTCTTCGTCCTCAGTCTACGAGACCAGCCCTTCTCAGTCTGCATAGTTGCTCTTGAAGTCCACTAGTCGGATCTTCAATGCCTCCTTTGCTGCTTTGCCTGCTCTTTCTTTAGTTTTATAGCCCTTCTTACATGCAAGATCTCTCTCCTCCTACTATGGGGTTGCTTTCCAGTTATTCCGCTGGGCCTTGTTCAGTTTTGTTGCCTTAGCACTGGAGACCCAGGGGATTTACTGTTAGACAAAACAAACTGTCCAATTGGAACGTTACGTAACACAAATACCAATATCGTGATAAATATACCGTGGACTTGTTATCGCGATATTATCGTACCGTGAGTTTTTGGTATCGTTACATCCCTAGTCCATACAGTCTTGGAATTGAACATCCAATCAAATAATGTAGTGTGTACCTGTTAGCAAGCTGACCAAAAGTCCCACTACCACCACCACGGTGGAGTTGTGGGCACTATACCACATGTAGGATAGCGAGTAGAGTGCCTCCACACCTGTCGGCCTGAAGGAAAGGGGAAGATGAAAGACAGAACGATGTTAGCACTAACCGATGATCATTACATGACTGACCTTATGCAGTTTACCTATAGTGTTAAATGAAATAAATGCAGTAACTTTAAATGCAAAGTAAATAAACGTTAATTGTCACACATATACACATGCACATAACCAACAGTTACATTTAGACATTGCTTTTATCCATCCAAGAAGCAGTCGGCAGCTACTTGTCTGTGCGGGGACTTAAACTGTTGACCCTCCTATTTACAAGCTACTGCAGCCTGCATGCGTTACCTCAGCTTGGCTGTGGTGGCGCTGACCAGTGTGGTCATGACAGCGGTGGTCATGTTGTCAAACAGGGGCAGATTTGTGGTGTTGAGGGCTCCCATTGCGTTGGCCTCAGACATGCGCAGCAAAAAGCTGCCAATGCCGATCCAGAAGGCCATGGCAAGGCCTGCTACCAACCCGACCAGTGCACCCTGTAGAGGTAATACATGGGTTTGTTCAAACCTCATCTTGAACCAAGCTTGTAAATAATAAAAGCACAAATGAAAGAACTCACAGTAGAGTTTGCCCACGGAAAAAACAATCCAAGGCAGAAGACGCCAAGCAGAGGACCACCAATCATCCCAAAGATGCTGAAGGCTGCCTGAGGACACAGAACATGGGTAAAGGTGTCGATCATTTGTGTGATAGGTAACTGCACTGAACGGCTGCATTAAATAAACAAAACACTTTTTACCGAGTATTTCCTTTTAAACTATTTTAGAGAATGTCATTTTTCTTCATGTCAAGATTGTGTTACCTGCAGAACAGATCCCATAATAGAGGCGACGTAGGCCATGGCCAGACACACCAGGCCATATACCAAAGCTGTGGGCCAAGCACGTTAGAAAGAAATATTTTTTGTTTACACATGCTACATCATCAGCAGGTTATATACTGAAAAGTAGGTTCAAGTATAAACTGAATTTAGCATCGTTAAGCAGCATTTGAGTATCTAGACTTCTTTATAAAACACAGTATGCTTGGCTATAGACTGTTACTGATAAGTAACAGTAGGACATGAGAACAATTTAAATCTACACAAATATTTTATATTCAACAGTATCAAGATATTTAATACTACAGTATCTAGTAGTTCATGCCAAAAATGTTTGGGAAAGGTACAATAAGTTCATTAAAGCACTTGTCTTACCGAGTCCCTTGGACAGCAGCGTAGCTTTGGCTTCAGTCATGTTTGGAAAATGAGGTTTAATCAGGTCCTCCATGGTTACTGTCGCTAGGGAGTTAAAGGCTGATGATATAGTACTGGAAGGAGACAATAATGGGATTCAATTAACAACTGGGAGTTTGTAACACATTATATGGCTTCTCTTTGCAGCACAAGTCTTTAGGATATTGATGTATTGATGTATATACTGTAGTATTAAGAAACTTTCTAAAAATGAGCAATACTCATTTCATGTCCAGCTGATGTTAGAAAATACACTCTTGGGAAACAGTGAAATTCCCTATTCAATTTCAAAAGGATGACATGATAAATTATAACTGACAAAGACATAATGATGAGTGGTGCAAGTTTAGAATCCCCTTCATTGTTATACCTAACTGCTGACACAAGTACACTTTAAAGTAAGTGATGCTGTTTGTTGCTTTGTTGTTGTTGCGTTGTTGTTGTTGCTTTGTTGTTGGTTCATTTACCTGAGAGCTCCACTGAAGAGACAGGCTACAAACAGTCCTGCAAGCCCGGGCAGATCCTTGAACACGTCCATCACAAAGTACAGGACCATCTGCACAAAGCAACACAACATCAGGATATGCTTCCAAAAGTCAAATATAACAAAGACACATTATTCCTTACAAATGAATGTTAACCTGGTCATTAGATTTGACAAAGCCCTTGTCCAGGGGGCTGTCCTCTCCATACCGAGCAAACATGACCAGGCCCATCATACAACCTAAACATAAGACAATCTGCTGGCATGGGAAAACTATGTAGCAGGACCTAGAAGGATATGGCAAACAAGAAGACTGTTAACAATAAAGAAAATCATAGAAAAGGTACACAATGTAACAATATAAAAACTGTAAAATACTTACACAAATTAGCAGTAATTACAAATAGATAGCCTGTGCAAAAGCAGCATGTTGTTGAACATGTTTGTACAGTTTGAAATGGTTTTGCTTTTTTGTATTTAATGTTTTTCCCTTAACTCCAAGATCAAATACGCAACAGTCATTGTATCATCTTCTTAGAAAACAGAAAGGGTTGACCTAGCACGTTGTTGTGAGACATTGATGGTACTCACATAATGGCCTCTTTTTCTGTACGAGAACTGAGGTACCTCTGGACCTGGGCCTGGTTGACCCCGTATAGAGCCAACATCAGGAAGACTCCTCCCACACCTAGTGTCCAGAAGGTATGGCGCTCCAAAGGGTCGGGGTTCAGGCTACGGAGGCAGAGAATCAATATAACATGATATACCTTAAAATTCTCCTATTATACTATTTTTAGGCATATATTATAGGTTTCAGATAGGGATGCTCCGATCGCCAATTTTGGTGCCGATCACCGGGAATCAGTATCGGCCGATGCCGATCCGATCGAGTGGGTGGGGGCTATGGGGATCTTCCATTTAAAGGGATGTTTAAAACTCAGTTAATGGGGCTCAGTTAATGGCGCTTCCACAAACAACAACCAACATAATTATTACATTAAAGGACAGGTGTCATGGCCATTTCCACTGATCATAATTACATTGTTGAGGTATACTAAAATAGATTTATACTGTGCAATTTTCCAAACTCACATTGGTTTCGCATACAGCATCTCTGTAAAGTATCTGTATTCAGCAGTATTCACTCTCTCTACTAAATGGCTCGTTGGAGCTCTTGACCCCCCCTCCCTGTGAGCCTAGTGTGCTCCGATTGGTCAGCTCGGCCACTCTGTTCTGATTAGTCAACCACCAGAGAGGCTCCGCCCATGTCTAACAGTGCTTTTTTCGGCTCGATCTGAGCGGAACATCAGTCTTATAATGGCGTCGGTACAGCCGTATATTTTATACGCTAACTAACCGAACTGTACCTACAACTGTTGTTATAGAAGAGTAAGTTATTTTTACCTGTAATAAACTACTACTGTTTGATGAGAAATCAAATCATGGTTTGCTATGTTATAGGAGCAAATAATTCACGGAAGAAAGGATAGGCCTACTAAGTATTTCCATCAAACTTTATTTTTAGAAATGTACAAAATGAACATAAATATACATATATACACGGTATATCATCCATTCCTCCCCGTTGTCGGCATCTTGCCTATCGCAGCCGGGGCTTTTTAGGATGAGGCATCACTGTGGTAGTCCCGTCCCCGTCATGTATTGTCGGCCAGGATCTGGCTGGACGAAATCAAATGCAAATCACAAAATATTAGAGAAACTTAGTTGTTTTAGATTCGTTAGTAGTAGTTGTGGTAGGAGTGTGGATCTATCTAATCCATCTATCTAATCAACACAGTAAGCTTGCCAGCTAATATGCTAACCTAGCTTTCTTGTTTACCTTGGTAGCAAACACGATATGAACGGTGGCTCGGAGGAACGGCAACTATAATGTAGTGTAATAAAACTACTATGAACAAAAGCTAGTGGTTCATATTAGGCTAGCAATAACGTGTTTATAATTGCAATCTTATACGGGTAGTCTGCTACGTTCGGTCATTCATTGTAACTGGCATGAATACATTGTTTTCCGCTAGCATGTATAGCTAGCCTCGTTAGCTATACATGCTATCAGCGTAGCTCGGAGAAAAGCCAACTGTAATGTACTGACCGTACGGTAAATCACCCGGAGTATACTGTATGAGTATTCCGTGTGTGAATGCAGATATTCTCCTGCCATGACAAACATGTAAGGCCATCTGCTGACATTGTAGTTGATATATTTAAACGCTAGCAACGTCGTTAGCCCAGTAAGCACTGTGTCAATGGCTTGTTTAGTGTAATAAAACCACTATGAACAAAAGCTAGTGATTCATATTAGGCTAGCAAGAACATGTTTAGAATTGCAATCTTATATGGGTAGTCTGCTACATTCATTGTAGCTGGCATAACAACAATTTTTTCCCGAGCAAACTCATGTCTAGCCCCGTTTTTTAGCTCGGTAGCATACACGCTAGGAACGACAGCTATAATGTAATTACGTTTCGCGACTGACCGTACAGTAAATCACCCGGAGTATACTGTCTATGAGTATTTCGTGTGTGAATGCAGACATTCTCCTGCTATGAGATACATGTATGTAAGGCCATCTGCTGATATTACAGTTGATATATGGAAACGCTAGCAACTTAGTTAGCACAGTTAGCACTGTGTCAATGGCTTAGCAGTCCGACACGTTTACACATTTAAACAGTCTTGTTTGATAAATACACAAATAACAATGCAAACTTACAGGTTGTGTACCCGAATCTTCCCCTGCTCCAAACGGTCCAAAAAACTAGGAATAGCATCGTCCTTCAGTTTCAAATGCTGTGCATATCCGGCCTCAAACTGGGCAATGTTTTGGAAGCTTACGTCTGTGAAATGCCGCGCACACAGTAACGTTCTTCGAACCTCTGAAGGAACAGTGTTAAACAGAAATTTCAACCACTGACTTCGTCGTGGTTCTTCCGTCGGTAGGACAAACAGCTCAGATTTCTCCTCACATTTCAGGAAACAGGTCCTTGGCATTGGCATGACTGGATCGATTGTGAACTGAACCAGAGCTTCCAACAGTAAATGTTAGGCTGGCAGAGGGTGCGGCCAGCGCCGCTGGGTGTGGCCATAGCTCTTCCGGATTGGTCCATTTTGTTCCGGGTACCGCATTACATCATGCGGTACCCGGAAGAATCAAATGGACAGTGACGTATCTCCAACGAGGCGTTTTGGGGAGGTATTTTCTGTGTTAGAGTTTTACTCGCTACAGGGTGTACTTTGAGGGTTTTGACTCTGCACACCGTTTACATGCATAAAAACCTTCATAACACACAAGGGGACGGGTAATAACCGGAAAAGCATGACACCTCTCCTTTAAAATGAAGTACATTATTCAAGTTTACATTATTTTTTGATAATAACACGGGAGAAATGAGCGGAAGCGCTCTCTTTTCCTCTTTTCCTCTCTCCCTCCCTCCCTCTCCTGACAGCCGGTCCCTATCCGTCTCATGCAGCTCACTGATCCAGTAATGAGTGACCCGACAGTGAAGAATAAATATATTTATAACTAGTTTAGCTTGTTCCAGAGGTAGATAAAATAGCTAAGTGTGTTAGGTCTAACTCTTAGTGTGTGTTTTGCTCCGCTCACCGGTCCGTCACAGCGGGCGTAGCTGCAGGATTTCTGCTTCACACACGTTGCATACCGCTATTTTACTGTCTTTTTCGGACACCTTAAAATACTGCCAGACTGGTGAAGCCATTTTGGCGAGCTTGTTTTGCCGCGCACAGAGAAAAGTGTCATGTATTTTACGTCATGTGATCGGCTCTCCCGATCTGCATTTATAGAGAGCACCGATCGATCGGCAGAGAGCGAATATCGGCCGATATCGATCGGTGGCCGATCGATCGGAGCATCCCTAGTTTCAGATATATAAAAAAACATGTCTCTGAAGCTCAAAATACCAAACAGATCACCCATTCTAGCCATGCCTCATACCCAGAGATGGGGTTGTTACTCAAAAAAAGTGATATATTACATATTACTTATTACTTTAAAAAAAAGTATATATATCCCCACTGCCCTCGTTAAAGCCTGTATGCCCTCTACTTGCCCCTTGATCACAAGAATCATTAACCCGTCCCTCGCAACTGGAACTGTACCGCCAAACCTCAAAACTGCTGCAATAACACCAACACTCACAAAACCTGGAGCTGACCGAGATGACCTGAATAACTACAGGCCCATCTCTAATCTCTCCTTCATCTCAAAAACCCTTGAAAGAGTGGTTGCTGCCAACTTCAAGAACACCTGGACAAAAACAACCTTCATGAACCCTTCCAATCGGGTTTCCGCTCAAAGCACAGCACCGAAACAGCGCTGGTAAAAATCACCAACGACCTCCTCCGTGCAGCTGACTCTGGACTGCTCACCATCCTAATCCTCCTTGACCTCACAGCTGGCTTTGACACCATCTCACACCCACTGCTTATCAAACGTCTGGCAGACATTGGGATCACTGGTACTGCACTCTCGGTTTTCATCCTACCTCACAGACAGAAAACAATATGTCCGTCTCAGCACCCACCGGTCAAGCTGCTCCGCTGTCTCACATGGTGTTCCTCAGGGGTCAATATTGGGTCCACTCCTGTTTATTATCTACCTACTCCCCCTTGGCACTATCCTCCGTCATCATAATGTCCATTTCCACTGTTATGCCGATGATACCCAGGTCTACATTTCCTGCAAACCCAACACTGCCCTCCCCCCAACCTCTCTCACCAACTGCCTCCAGGACATCAGGAGCTGGATGAGCAGGAACTCCCTAAAACTCAACGGCAGCAAAACCGAAGCCCTGCTGGTTGCCACCAAAACCACCCTCTCCAAAACCTCATCCTCCCCTGCCTCCAACCTCATCATTGATGGCTACTCCATCCCCTTCTCTGGCCAAGTTAAGAGCCTTGGTGTCATCCTGGACAGCTCCCTCTCATTTTCACCTCACATAAATAACATCACCCGGACTGCCTTCTTCCACACACGCAACATCTCCAGACTCCGCCCATCCCTTTCTCAATCAAACACTGAAGTCCTGGTCAATGCATTTGTCACGTCCCACATCGACTACTGTAACGCCATCCTCTCAGGCATTCCCACCAAACTCATCAATACATTTCAAATCATACAGAACTCTGCAGCCCGGATCATCACCGGCACCAAGGCCTCAGAACACATCACCCCCATCCTCATCCAACTCCACTGGCTCCCTGTTCAATCCCGTATCAACTTCAGCAACAGCCTATAGCCAAAACTTAAAACTTAGGCCTACATTTGCACACATATAACAATGACTATTGCAATAAGGAAGACATAACACAAGTCTTTCTTTTTATGCTCTTTAATAAAATAGGCTACCACAAGCTAACAGTCGGTGAGAGAGCATTTCAAGATTTCACCATTGTGCAAAATGCAACATTTCCTCTACTATAAAGGATGCTACAAGCCTGTCCATCTCTGCTTTGGTTACCGGTCCAAATTCTAGTTTTTGCTGCTTCGGAGACGGCACTCGGCACACACTCAACATCCTCACTCTGGGTTCGGGGTCCTTAGCTATTAGCTTCATGGTTAGCATGTTGTCTTTGCAGGCGCTTGTGGAGGTTTGACGTTGTGTTTGCAGCAGTGGATAAAAGCTTCTGGCCTGGACACAGTTTGCACCTCACTATCACATTCCTGTCCTTTCTTCAGATGAACTCAAAATAATGGGCATACCTCCGGAAACCCCCCTTGTCTGTCAAAGGGAGAATCTAGTAATTATTTATGTTAGTAGGCTAACTGTAGTGTGACTGAATTTATAAAAGTAACGAAGTAACACGTGTCGGGCAATGTTAGTAACTGTAGTGTGATTACTGCATTTATAAAAGTAACGCCCAACTCTGCTCATACCCCTCTATTTCAGCCCTGTTAGAGAAGTGCTGATTCGTAGCTTTAAAAAAATTAAATAATAATAAATAAACGAGACGAGACGAGAGCTCATGCAGGAGAATTCTACCCAGATACCCTAAACACTGCCGTGATTCAACGCCATATCATGTTCAAAACCACATCAAGGATTATTTCTGAAACAGTATGGAGCTCAAACACTTTCTCTCCGCGGGTTTACCCCAAGGACAGGTGTTACCTTGGTTGGTTATTGGCTAATGGTTACACAAGCCAAAAAATCGTTATGACATCATAAAGTGGCCAAAATCAGCTCATTTTCAGACAGGCTTTTATATAAATGGATCAGGACAAAAAGAGAGTGAATGGTTTTTCCTAAAACTTTCAGAATCTCTTTACACAGATGGGACACATGTTTATGTATAAAGACATGCCAAAGTAGATTTTGCATAATAGGCGACCTTTAAACAATGCACATGATGAGAATTATGATTAAATAAACCATTATTGTACATCTTAAAAGTGTTCTGTTTTTGTGAGTAGGATCTCCTTATTAATAAAAAAAAACCTCTGAGTATTTTTGTCCTAATCTTGGTTTTTGTGTTTCACGTTTCCTGTTTTGTTTTGAAATGTATTTTTTTCTTGTGTTTTACCTTACTTCCTGAGTTTTTTCCCACTTGACTGTTTGTCTGCCCTCCCTGATCCTATCCACCTGTGTGTTATAACCTGCTGCCCTCGTGTTTTAGCCTGTCCTCTCCAGCTGTGGCTTGTCAGTGTGATTAGTTCTGTGACTATGGTTGCCGTCGCGTTGTCCAAAAATCAGTAATTTTTCCTAGTCTTTAAACAAGTTATTCCGTTTTATTTTCTTGTTTTGTTTTCCTTTTAATATTTTTTTACCATGCCTGGTCCTCCTGTTTAAAAAAAAAATTTTGCGTTTTTTCTGATCAGTTTTAGTAAAATAAAGCTTGCTTTAGGTTTAAAGCTCTCCTATTATACTATTTGTAGGCATATATTATAGGTCTCAAACAGCATCAAGGATTATTTCTGAAACAATTTGGAGCTCAAATGCTTTTTCTCTTGAGGTGAGTTCCATTTTATATCCTGCTTTTTTACACATACTCTCTCCAGTACAGGTTAGCTCTGGGTGTTAGCGATGCTTGCTAATGTAAACACAGACCATATTACTTCCAAAACGTCACACATTGTTTCTGTTACAGCGATGTTTCGGATAGGGCCGTAGGTGTAAAGCCAGCCCACATTTTAGTAACGTCGTCATGACCGCAGCGAATCTACAGCTCCGTTGTCCCCGTTTTTAGAGATGTGGGTAAGGAGGAAAGAGAGAGTTGTATTTTCTGACACATTGTGAGTCTCCTTACACACCGGGGACAAATATTTATGTATAAAAGACATCAAAAAGTGCATTTTGCATAATAAGGGGACCTTTAATACACTGTGACATGTAAAAGGAAGGAGGACCAGACTACTCACTCCAGTCCAGCAATGCGACTGCCATTGGTCGCTTTCCTCCACACCTCTGCTATGCCCCCCGCCTGATTGGCCCCCACAACGATGACCGCCAGCTGGCCTGCAAACATGACCACTGTCTGGAACACATCGGTCCAGATTACTGCCTTCAGACCGCCCTGGGACAAAGAAGCAGTGGATCCACTTAATATATCAAAATGATCATCATTAGGAATAATCTGCTAAAGTGTGCGTTGATTGGAATGAATGATATCTATGTTCAAATAACCGGAGACAATAAAAGAAAAATAATAAAGTCATTAAAGCAAACATAAGTTATTGACAAGAACCTCCTTCCTCCTCTACATTATTGGATTGGATTAGATTATTAGATGTACACAAGATATATATGTTCTTGTTTAAATAAATTGAACTTTTTTTTGTTTTTGACCAATATTTTGTCTCAATAATCACTGATGAAATTATCACTGGGATGAGGTAAGATTAAGGTACTCACCAGAGCAGTATAAAGAGTGCACACCAAGCCCATGGCCAGCACTGCCCCCCATAGGTCAATGCCTGTCACTGCAAGTGATCAGACAAGAGTATTACCAAAACCGGCACACACGTTACTGAACTACAACTTGTACTGCATTCAATACCATCCATCAGTAACCGTTGGCACCTATTGATGTAAAAATGATTTGATAATGTTGTGGTCAAATATTTAAAGAAAATGCTAGTCCTACCTGCATTGAGTGCCAATGCCGGGGCATACAGCACAACCCCCATATAAATGACCTGCAGAAGAAGAAAATATAAACATTACAGAACAGGGAAAGTCACAAAAAAACGCTGAACTCATGAGGTCATGATTCACATATCAGATTATACCTGTCAACATTTAAAAAGTTCTGACACTGAGGAAATTGATTAAAGGTGGGGTAGGTACATTTGAGAAACCAGCTCGAGATCGCTAGAATTTGAAAATACACAACCGGAGAAAATCTGCCACTTCCTTATAGAGCCCCTCCTCCAACACACACGAACGTGCACATGACCAATGAGGGCACGAGATAAGTTTGTGCACAGATGGAAGGCTGACAGGCAGGTAGGCCATCCAGTTATTTTAGCCGGGCCGGCTAAAATGATTGGTCGTTCTTTTTACAGTATTACGGCTTCCACAGATGACATTTTTTTATGGATTTGTTGTCAAAGCACTTAAGATATTCATTGCTATCGGGATGTTAAGAGCATTCCATGGAATATAACAAAAAGTGTATCTCGAGCCGGTTTCTCAAACTTACCTACCCCACCTTTAAGATAAAGAGCGATCTTAATCCATTTTTGGAATATGGCATGTTGCATTGTTGGGGGAGCCTGAATGTTCATTGCCAACAACTACGCTTCATTTGCTAGTAAACAAGGAAAAATAACCTTTAAGCAATTCACCATCAAAAATTGTTTCTACACATTTCTGTATTTATTTTGGGCAATTAATAATTGTGTTGATTGGCATTGATAATAACAATTCACACTATTAATGGAATGCCATGAGTTCCTGAAATTACTGAATACAAATCACATAACACATTTGACAAGGGTCCATTTGGGCTAAGGTTTCAGCTAGGCTGCAATATAATAGGCACTGTTATATCTGTACAATTCTCAAAGTGGCATTATTTAGATAAACTTTTTTATTGCTGTTTTTGCCTTTCTTAATCAATGTTTTACTATCTCAACGACTTAATTTAGTGGTCTGCTTGCTTTATTAAATGGGAACTTGGAATACAATTATGTTACACAGTTTTCTGCGTCAAATAATTATTGTCTTTACTAAAAACTTCCATTTAGCTGACATAACGCCCAAGGTGGTGGTCATTTTATAAGAAGTAGCATCAATAAGTTCCCTCCTGCAAGGCGTTGGCATAAAACCCCAGAAAACGAATTTACAAAGTTAGTATGAGCCAAACCAGGATACCATCTGAAAGATGAAGGTCACAGTCCCACATATGCGAACCGTCTTGTTAAAGCGCAGCTCCAGATACTGTCGAGGGGAGACAATGTCAAAGGGGAAAAAAAAGATAAACAAACGGCTAATTAAAATATTTTTTTATATATGTTCGGATTGTGGATGTTTGTCAGGATCAGAGCTGCAAATTTAGAGCCTTAATATCAAAGCCAGATTTTTCAAAGCCAGATTTTTCCAAACCAGATTTTATCTCAGATTTAAACTTTTAGTTCACAGGACATCAGTGCAGTACTGTTATCTGGTCAATTCTCATTTGTGTACTTGAGGTTCATGAGAGAAACAGCCAGACCGGAAGGAGATCACCCTAACCTTTTAAAGATGTTCAATCTTGAGACAAGAACATGCGTTTTTCTGTTGAACTTCAATGACAAGCAGAGATAAGAGGACTGATACACATTTTAAGCTCTGATATCTTGAAAACTAAAAAACTGCAGACAATCATTCCGAAAAATGTGCATGTTGTGTGTACCTCATAAGCGCTGGACAGACGAAGTCTATAGAAAACTGGTATGAAAACATGAGCCGGGATGAGCAGGCCTAAGAAGTAGGAGCAGCCCAGGAACCAGTACTGAGTCCCAAAGGTGTACACCTCAGATGGAGCACCAAGGATTGCCACAGCCGACTGGAAAGTGGCCAGCAGGGACAAAGACACAGGCAGGCAGCTCATGGAGCGATCAGCCATCAGGAACTCCTAGAAACAGACAGAATACTAGAAAATGCATTTCCTGCAGAAAATGCGTGCGAATGCTGTAAACTGTGAACATTTGTGGCTGAATTTAGCTGAAAATGCAGAAAAAGCTGAATATGTTATTAGCTGAATGGTAGCTGCTTCTAGCTACAAAAATGCAGAAAAAGCTTAATATTTAAAAGAAAAGGTTTAAAAAAAAAGGTATAAACAACATGTATAGCCTTGATGTCCTGAAATAGCTGAATAATGTAATAGTTGAATGGTTTCTGCAGCTGAAAATAGGCTGAAGGAGTTACATATCAGATGTAAGTAGTAGTGAATGAATTTGTATTAGGAAGAGAAAAGAAAGTAAAAAGGCTTGGGAAAGCAGCAGAATATTTTGACTGCAAACTTTTCGACTAAAACCATACGTCACCAATAATGTATAAAATATGTGGAACCTGTTGAAGTCAGTATGAAGTCTCCATCAGACAGAAAATAATAGGCTGAGACAGTCTGTTAAAGTCCAGTATGTTTGTCAGTGTTTGTTTCTGTGCTGAGCACCTAATCATAACAAATAATCATAACACCTGTGTGAGCCCAGAGATCAAAGCTTTCAATCTGCCCAGCAACACCATGGTTACCAGCTGCAGCACTGAGTGTCATTAAGAATGCATTGAGGATCATATCTGACAATTTTGCCACCTGTTCAAAAACTATCGCTCCTATCAAAAAATTAACAGACCGTGAGCATCAGGGAACCCCAATGAACTGATATATGTTTTTTTTTTGGGTTTTGTGTGGTAAATGTGAAGATGAGAGCAGTTTGTCTAAAGTGTACTTCTCTCTGTTCTGAAGAAAGATCCGGATGTTTTTAACATGGGAATCAATTGGGAGCTAGGTGGACTTTTTGTCTCTTCATGCCCTCAAGAGGCATTTTGTTTAATATTTTTTCTTTATTTTATTTTCCAACCGAGGAGAGGTTTTCCTACGTTTTTCATGACAAATTATGTCTGAGGAGTGTAGGGTTTGGGAATTATGGCAGGTTTAAAACATTTTTTGGGGCGAATTTCAAGCTCTCCTCCACTCTGTTTTGAGATCAAAGCACTCTAGACTTAACGAGCTGCTCCATCCACACTAATGTTAAAATCTGAAGAAAGCCTCTTTACCAAGCTCCAAACTAAGTTAAATATCTCAAAAAGTGTAAAAGATATCAAAAATCTGAATAAGAATTGAATAGCTGAAGGTCTTGTGATCATTTTAAAGTTGGAATGAAGTCTCAAGCTGAAAATATGTGGAAGGAGAAGCATTTGGCGTAAGGTGTAGGAAAAGAGAATTTGAAGAGTCGTCCCATTGACTTCCATGTTAAAAAAAGAGTTTAAAAAGCTGAATATTTCCAAAAGTATAACATTCTTTTAAAGTTGAAGGTTTCCCATCGATTCCTGAAAAGGCTGAATAGTTTAATATTTGAATGGTTTCTGTAGCTGAAAATAAGCTGAAGTTATGGAGAGCCAAAGTATTGGCTGAAATAATAATAAGGGGATGCTGTGGCACAGCATGCACACTAATTAGTGTCAAGACTATCAAATACAAAAACATAGTGTGCCCCTAAAAGCTTAAAATTGACCCTGTCGTCTTATTTGGTTAAGAATCAAAGTAAGGGAAGTATGTTTGAAGTCTACCTGTGTTGTGCGTTGGCGTCCACCGGAGAAGGCATGGAAGAGTCCGATGCCAGTTGAGGCTACTAAAAGTAGGGCAAAGATGACGTAGTCCACTGTGGTGAAGTGCATTTGGACTACCCCTCCCATGATGACAGTGGATGCGGGGGGCCAGGGGAGTGATCACGACAACACAGAGAGTACTTCACCAATAGGAAGACTCAGCGAGAGCTGGAGAGGAAACAACAGGGTAAGTTAACTTCCTCGCACAAAGAACTGGGTAGCAGTGGTTCAGATGTAAACTCAACAATTAGCAGTGATTATCTTGTCTTCAACAATTTTCTTTCATCTTTAAGTTTTGTAAAAAGCACTACAGAGCAAGAGTAATATGTGTTTGTCAGTAACGGGCCAGGCAATTCAACTTGGCCTTCAGGAGTTTCCTACCTGAATTAATCCACCTCTTAATACCATCATTATGACGTCACGGCTATAGAAACCATTAATATTGTACAGAAACGCAGAGTAACAGGGCGTTTCATCAGAGACAGGTATCTGATGTAGCGAAAATCAATTAATAAAGCAAGAAACCCAAATAATACAAATCAACAAGTCTCCTTTCGTTGCAGCCACATACATAATCTCTAGCAGAAGCATCAATATTTACTTCGTAAAATGATCAAATGGAAAATAAATATCCAAACATTTAAATAAAAGCCATTCATTATAGCCTATACTCACCAAAAGTGATTATTTGTACAAAAAATCTATCCTCTTTTTTTTCCTCAAGAAGTGTTAAATTACTCTGATTATCTGAGTTTTCAGTTATTTTGTTTACTAAAATGCTTTGAGCATTAATGTTTAATAGTAGTGCATTTACAATGAATCTTTTATTTACAATGCAAGAGTTTCCATATTATGGTTCAACCATTTAAATGTGTTGTTTTAGATGCATTTGCAATATTTTAAGCTGTGTTGTGTTACACAGGCTGGGTTTTTATGATACCCTTAGATCAGAAGATTCTGGATTCTGGATTCCGGGATGGCGAGCTACCATTGATAACCTGAACTACTCATCTTTCCGCTACCAGTGGTAGGATTTTGAGAGGACTTTAAAGGAACCGAACAAAGAACTGATTTTTTATTTTTGGGGTGCACTCGAGTGTAAAGCGCTTTAAAAACAATTAAAAATATTAACTGCTGGCAGACTGTTGCTTATTCCTGTGCCAATATATATATATATTTTCTTCATGAAATCTCAGTAGGCTATTCACTCAATTCACTCTGGTGTTCAACTTCATTTATTACCCATCCTTTAAGAACCTGGAATACTGGTCCAGTTTTCACACATATCAGACTGGTTACACAGGCTAATGCTAAGAGTCCAGTCTGTCCAGTCATATTTCTGGCAAAAACCATTGTGGAGCTCCGTTTCCCTTTGCATGGTTCCTTATGCAGTAGATCCACTTGGGTTTCCCCAAAAGTTTTCAAAAGCAACGTTGCTTGTAAGTGTCCAGCAGTGCTTTAGTGTCTCGCTGCTGCCTTGGTTAGACAACTCAAGTTTACAAACCCTCTATGGCTCCAAACAGCAAGTGGATCAGTTGTGAATATCAGGCGTTCAAAGCAGTGTGCAGTGCTCCTCGGAGGCTGAGAGGTACCGCTGTAGTTAGTGAATTGAATTGGCAGACAAACCCTTTCCCTGGCTAAGACAGGCTTGCTAGCTTCACCAAATCGATTTCTCCTCCGCTGTCAGCCATTGTGGGTTGAAAAAAAACGCTTTCAAATCTAAACACAAATATGCTACCTTGTGCAGGTTGCCAATGACACTACAGATGCCGTTTGCTAGCAGGTCGCTACCTGTCGCTACACACGCTAGAGTTTAGACACTGTTTATCCATTGACAATCCAATCAGAGGACAGGAAAATGCCGACGTCATCGTACGCCCGCTGGATGGCCCCGGTGACTCGAAATCCGATTGGTCATTGCAAATGTTTCATTGCCATTTATTCTAAGCTACAAAGAAAAACTGCTGATTCTGAAGGCTTAAGGGCAGATTTATTTGACCCAGCAACACATTCTGACTGAAATATGATTGGATAAAAGCTCCAGCATAAACACAACCATTACTGGACGCAGCCCAAACTATATTAAAACGTTAGACGACGCCATCGGCACTGCCTCACCATCCACACTGCCCTCTCACACCTGGACCAGAGGAACACATAATATGTGCAGTGGCGACTCACCTAGTGTCAGCAGAAAGTAATGCAAATGATAATTCCCAAAATATGCAAAACAAATATATGTTAAAATATATTTTAAGATCATGTTTCGACAGTGTGCCTATTGAGCCGTGTTGAGCGATGTGGGGCAAGCCCCTCTCTTTGCTGTTCAAATGAACATGTACTGTAAAAACTACACTGCGCATGCTGAGTATTTTTCTATTCAATTTGTGAGGCAAAAAAATAATCACCATAGGGGCACTGTGCTGCCATACCCACCAAACGTCATCTCATAATTCATAGAGTTGATTGGCTGTAAGTACGTGTGCCGCGAAAAGTGTATGTGAACAGGAGACGAGAGAGAGCAGCTTATAGCGATTCAAATCAGTAAAACGGAAAGAAAATGAATGAAGTTGACCATCTACTTCAGCTTTGGTAAGTTCATTTTATGTCATATATTTTGTTGATCTTCTGTGTTTTGCCTATAGGCTATTGCTCTGCTGGATCGATTGATATTGTGACCTCAGTGATGAGTGTCTTGTGTTTTCCTTATACCCCCCCCCCCCCTCTCTCTCTATCGGAACCATGGATAGCCTACAGCTATTTGTTTACGTGTTTAAAAAAGCACCAGAAGCTTATATATACACATCTAAGTTGTTCGTGCCCCACCACTTTTGTACATATAAAAACGCCACTGCATATGTGAGAATGCTGTTCATTGATTACAGTTCAGCTGTTGAAAAACACTTAAAAGACTTGTCAGAAAAAATACCAACATCAAAGTATACAAGTTGTTCACACTTGAATAGAAGAGTAAAAGCTCCAAAGAAAGACAGCAAAGAACTTACCGTCCCCTGAGTTGAAGCTGTTGCTGCTAGCTGACACCCCGAAGTTCTCTGTTCCCACTTCCAATCACTGAGAAAAATAATTTACCACACATAAGTAATGCATTAGAAATATTGTTACAAAAGATGAATCACCTTTACAAAAACAGCCATTTATTTTTTATCGGGTTCATATGAATTTAACCAAACAAAATACTATCCTTTGTTATATTTTTACAAGAGATACTTTATCAGTGTTCATTTACAGTTTTCACTTTAGGGGCCTGAGTTTTTAGCTCCTCGCTGTGCTCATTTGAAAATAACTATCATATTCCACGACACATAAGACCATGTTTTCTCTCAGAGAGTGCTGTTGAGCTGCAGTCTCAAACCCTACTTATGAGAGGAACAGCAAAGAGGCAGTTAGCTGCAGAGAGGTGAAATGACAGTGAGGGGAGGTCACAAGGAATAAGACAGGATAGAAAATTAGACATTAACTGTGTGTGTCATATACCACATAGTAGGATTCAGGATCTCCTTTGAAGAAGGAATCCAGGCCAAGAATGACTTCTGTCAAGCCCTGCCAACTTTAAACAAGCCCCTGGGAATAGAGCGAGATTATGAAACGGGTAGTGAGGTAGTAGGTAGTACTGAGGTTATTGCAAGTTCCGCTTTCATTATGTGATGCACACTGACCACTTGTAATGACAAGTCTACATATATAGACATTGACCCTATAGCGACTGTAATGGCGAATACATTTTTTGGGAGTGTCTGAAATTACTTTGTGTTATCAGAATAGATAGATAGATAGCAATGGGGAGTGGGGCGGTAGGGGGGGGTTGTGCGGTGCCTTGCTCAAGGGCACCACAGAAGGGCCCAGGAGGTGAACTGGGAGCTCTCCAAGTAGCAGTCCACACCATATTTACGGCTCCCAGTCCAAGCCCCTACTGAATGAGCCACTGCCGGAATAGTATCCATCTGGCTAAATAACATTTGGAAAGACTAGAGGTGCTGTATTTTCAAATTCAATTTTCCCTAATTGACTCCAAATAGGAATGAAAGTAGGCCTTCATTTGTTTTGGGAGGAAAAGCATGTCCCATAATGTAGGTTATTTAATAAATGTGACGTGACTCACAGTTAACGGCCATGCAGTGGGTTTGAGATGTGAGTGAGTTGCTGAGCAAACACAATATGAGCAATTTAGAACATTTTGGGGGCAGAAATACTATTTTCACACGTTCAATGTTCCCCTTCAATATTCCCCTTTTCGACATGGATATAGGGCTCTCCCTCGCCCTCCCTTCGGCAAATCAGACCACATCTCATTGCTGCTGCTGCCTGCTTACAGGCAGAAACTTAAACGGGACAGACCGGTAACTAAGTCAATACAACGATGGAGTGAGGAGTCAGAATCAGCTCTGCAGGATTGCTTTGCATCTACGGAGTGGAGTGTGTTTGAGGACAACAACATAAACACACACACGGACACGGTCATCTGCTACATTGGGAAATGCATTGATGACGTGGTACCAAAGGTTTCTGTATGAACATTCCCGAATCAAAAGCCCTGGATAAACGGCGAGGTGCGTTTTGGAGAGCTGGAGATTTGGAGGAGTACAGGAAAACTAGATATGAACTCCGGAGAGCTATCAGCAGTGCAAAGAGACAATACAGAGAAAAAGTGGAGGCTGACTTCAGAGGCTGTAACACCCGGAACATGTGGGCAGGACTAAGAACAATGACAGACTACAAAGGAGAAGCGGGGGGTGCTGTGGGAGTGTCTGCGTGCGCATCTCTCCCATATGAGCTGAACAGTTTTTTTTGCACGATTTGAGAGCAGCCAGGCTGTGGAGGCACAGAAGGATCAGGAGCCCTGCCCTTTTGTTTTACACAGGGCAGATGTGTGCAAATCCTTTATAAAGGGTTAACCCACACAAGGCTCCTGGACCTGATGGCATCCCTGGCCGTGTTCTCAGGGTGTGTGCAGTTCAGCTGGCAGAGGTGTTCACAGACATCTTCAACAGGTCCCTGCTGCAGTCTGTAGTCCCCACATGCTTCAAACACTCCACCATCGTTCCTGTCCCCAAAAAGACAAAATCACCTGCCTCAATGACTACCGCCCAGTAGCACTCACCTCCATCATAATGAAGTGCTTTGAGCGGTTAGTCAAATCATTCATCACCTCCTCCCTCCCTGACTCTCTGGACCCCCTGCAGTTTGCCTACAGAGCAAACAGGTCCACAGACGACGCCATAGCCCTCACCATCCACACTGCCCTCTCACACCTGGACCAGAGGAACACATATGTGAGAATGCTGTTCATTGATTACAGTTCCGCTTTCAACGCTATTGTGCCCTCCAAGCTGGTCATCAAGCTCAGAGACCTCTGGCTCAACAGCGCCCTCTGTGACTGGATCCTGAACTTCCTGACGGGCAGACCCCAGGCAGTGCGGGTGGGAAACATCACATCCTCCACCCTGATCCTCAATACCGGAGCCCCTCAAGGCTGCGTGCTCAGCCCTCTCCTCTACTCCCTATTCACACACGACTGCGTGGCCACACACAGCTCCAACACCATCGTGAAGTTTGCTGACGACACGACTGTCATCGGCCAGATCACCGACGGCGACGAGACGGCGTACAGAGAGGAGGTCGACATCTTGGTGCCAGGATAACAACCTCCATCTCAACGTCAGCAAAACCAAGGAGCTGATTGTGGACTACAGGAAGCAGCAGAGAGAGGGTCACGCGCCCCATCGCCATTAATGGGACTACGGTGGAGAGAGTCAGCAGCTTCAGGTTCCTCGGTGTCCACATCACTGAGGACCTGACAGGGACTCATCACACCACCACCATCACCAAGAAAGCTCGACAGCGGCTCTTCTTCCTCCGCAGGCTGAGGAGGTTCAACATGGACCCCAGGATACTCTGCAACTTCTACAGGTGCACCATATAGTATCCTTACTGGCTGCATCACGGCCTGGTACGGCAGCTGCACTGCCCTCAATCGTAAGGCTTTACAGAGGGTGGTGAAAACTGCACAGAACATCACCAGGACGGAGCTGCCATCCATGGAGGACCTTTACTTCCAGCGGCTCAGGAAGAAAGCCCTCAGGATTACAAAAGACCCCCATCACCCCAGCCACAAACTGTTCTGTCTGCTGCCGTATGGCAGGCGTTACCGCAGCATCCGGACTATAACCACCAGACTCAGGGAGAGTTTCATCCCACAGGCAATAAGACTGCTAAACAACTGAACTGTTGAAACAACATCTGTTAAACACCTGAACTGTTGAAACAATATCCATAACATTCATCTGCTACTTAGAAATTATTTATCTATTTATCTAATATAACATATTCCAATAACTTGCATATAGACTCTTATTGCACTATTTCACTATTTCACTTTTTTAAACTATTTTTGTATTTACTATTTTTTATTGTGTTGCACTGTTGGAGGACCCTGTGACCTAAGATTTTCATCGTCATAACTACCCTGTAGCTATGTTCGTATGACAAAATAAAAACCTTGAACCTTGAACCTTGAAGTTTGGTGCATTCTGATTGGCGTACACGGAAATCATTACCGCGAATGTGGATAACAATCAAAATGTGTTCAACTAAATTACCAATGAGATAAATCTCTTATGGCGCAGTTCCACTACAGCGCAGAGCTCGCTTTAAGCGTGCCGTGTCGTGCCGAGCCCGTTTTTGGTTGCGCTTCCACTAGGCCTAGTTCCGGCCCGGCCCGGGGCCACTTTTTCACGTCTTTTCTGGCCCGAGAAAATTGTGGTTCTATCGAGGCCAACAAACAGGGCTGAGTCGGGCTGAGTATGCTAAACTAGAGAGAGGAGCGCTGGCAAGGGGCTACAACTACAACAAGATGGACATATTTGACCGTGATTTAATTGTAATACACGTTTCAAAATGATGCCGAAGTAACAACATATTGATACCGGTTAGTAAAAACCATGAATTAATGCTTTGTCAAGTCTGCAGACAGACGGCAGGCGAAAAACCTTTTAAAATGAATGTTTTTCTTGATGGAGATTGGCTAAGCTAACGCAGTATATGCTCCGACCGTCCACACTCACAACAACGGCCTATACAGACATAAATAAAGCAGCGACTGTATTCACCATGACACAGGCAGTCTGTGGTGTGTACTTGTTTAACTTTTGTCGAGTTTCTGAACATATATAAGGAGCTGTGAGCTCTGAGTGCTAACAGCTAACGGCTGTGTTGTGTTTCTGGAGTTCTCTGAAGATGACGTCACGGCTCCGCCTACACTGCGTTACTATAGTAACTACCCCAGTTCCTAAACTGTAATGGAAGCGCAGCATGAAGTGAGTCGGCCCCGTTAAGGCCAAGCCGTACCGAGCCGTACCGAGCGTGGCCGAGGCCGACCGTGTAGTGGAACTGCGGCATTAGAGGCTAAACTTGGCTCATAGATGTGACGTGTATCAATAATGAAGTCCAAACCAAAGTTAAAGGTTTATGGATATCATATAGTACAGAATATATCAGAGCTTAGCTCTCCCTCATTGTCATGCCACAAACCCCCACATACAACAGGTGCCCTAGATACCATAAACCACACCCATGTGACAATTACCAAAGTGTGTGGTGTCAACAAATAATGATTATAACAAAACAATAAACACAGGTTAACTGAGCATTTTGGCTCCTACATTAGGTGGAAAAATACTGAACTGCTGATTGACTGCCATGATATTGCCTGGCCTATTTTTGTATAACCAGTGGTAAATGATTGTGTGTATTTAAAGTTACCTAGTATCCTCATATGTTAATGTCTTACAAGGAAATAGATTGCCATAAAGATAGGAATGCTGCGTCTCATTTATGTCTGCCAAGTGCCTAAACATTCCTTAACGAGGACCACACTCAACATGATAGAAATACTCCCTGCAGAGTCTTATTCTTTTGGTTTTATAAAACTTTTAATGACAAATTACTATCTTTTGATTATCTTATTATAATATGTGTGAATTGGCCTTTTTACACGTAACAACACACATATAGAGGAACTTTATGCTCTCATCCTTTGTGCTCCACACACGTAT